TCAACCGCTTCTGAAATCTGATTAGTCGTTTATCGGCAGCATACGGTGTCTACTGTAGAGTATGTGTGTACGGTAAAATTAATGAAGCAAAGTGCATGTCATAGGGTCACAGAGTAACGTTTTCAAACAGCAATTGCGGGGCGTTACAGGCGCGAGTTATCGAAATGGACGACACGCCAGGACCTGACGATGAACTTACGTTAGGGGTAGATTTAAGAGAGCCACGTATTGGTTCCGCCAAGCGAAACTTGACAGTTGGCCAAAGGCATAAACCGAAAATTAAACTGGAAATCAAATACATATAATACAGTATACCCGATTCTGGGTCCAGTGCTGAAATGACAGATTCTCTGCTGATTCACAGCCGGCGGTAGCCCTCAACAACGAATTGGCAAAGCATCTGTAAAATTAAATATCACGATTAAATATTAATTACCGTTTGGAAACTGAACTGACTAAAGGCAAATTTCGCCCCTTGATTTTCTAGTCTATCTGCGCGTTGAGTACTTGCAAAAATTTCGTCATGTAAAAAAAGTAGTATTTAAAGCAATTACATGCGAAACAGACTTAATCCCTTGCTCCACACGCAACAGTCCGTACTATAGAAATCGGGCCTCGTTCCGCAGATCAAGAACATTAATCCTAATCCGAAGCACAACGTGGGCACCAACAACAACGAGCACATCACGCATCCAAATGTCCACCTGGAAAGGTAGCGTCCTAATTATCCGTTTTCGTTTGAGCAAAATCGTTATTACCAGTAGGTTTCATACTTCGTCACAACCTCAGCGAATCGCGTAACTTCCGACGTGGCGGCAGACACCTTAATCTATAATCACGCTATTGTTGTACGCCGTCAATAAATCGTCAGTCGCTTGCCAGATGATCATTTAACATAATGCAGGGTGTAACTGATAGAGTAACTCATAAACATAAGATCAATTCCTGTATTAAAGTGACTAACAAAGGATGGAATGTAAAATACGTTGACATTTTTAAAATAAGTACTCACACTAACCACAAAATGTCACGGCAAACGTAAGACTGACAATGAAAATGATGCATAGTAAGGTTTACGTTTATTGGCTGCTCGGCGATCATATATCCTAAAATACTCGGTCAACACATAACGAAATCACAGGTACTGTCACTACCTACACAACAGGGAAATGAATCTTTGATCGAACTAGAAA